TCAAATGGGCAGATGGATGACAGCAAATGGAAGGAGTGTTCCGACCTCCCTGGGAGAGTCAAGGGTGCAGAGAACAGGTGGACAGCCCCAGGGCCRGGTGCACAGCCAGTGTGGCTGCAGCAGACACATCCCTAAGAGCAGGGATGGGGCCATGCAGAGAACTCAGAAATGTAACCGCAGGTTCAGATGCATTTCTTCTACAGTTTCCCCACGTGCAGGTGTTCAGAGTCTGCTTGCRGAACTTTGCCTTACTCAAAGTAGTGACTGCCTCCTGGGACAGCCCTCTGACTTATAGCAGATAGCTGGTTCAGGAGCCAATGTAGAGCCCCTAGAGTTTCTTAAGCAAAGAACTGACATATTTAATGGCTTGTTTTAGAGGTATATAAGAGAACAATTACTAAACCACTACTAAGTACCAACTATTGTTCTAAATACTTTAGGACTGTTTTTTCATTTACTATTCTTTCCAATAATCCTATGAGGTTGTAGAAGTGAGGCACAGAGAGGTTAAATAGCTTACCCTAAGTCACACAGAAAGTATGAGATCTGGGATTAAAACCTAGGCAATTTGGTCTGGAGCCTGATGCCACGCTATGCTACCTCTGGAGGATGTTTCAGAGAGAGACTCCATTAGAGCACTGCAATGGTTCTCAGTCCCTCCCCTCCCCTTACATACATAAAGAACAGAGAACATACCCATCAATAATGAGGGCTTATGATAGCACTTGGGAGTTTTAAAATAGAATAAAAGGAGGGCACAGAAAAAAAAAGTAACATTCAGGGAAGGTCAGGAAGAGAAACTAGTTTTGTGGGGAAATCATGAGCAATTTTGAAGCTGAGTTTGAGATACAGAAGAGACTAGCAGACAAGAATTGTTGGGCGAAAAACTAGAAATTGGGCAAATGGGAAACTCAAGAGTGGGAGACATTTTTAAAGAATCATCTCTGTGATTAGGGAGGGTATAAGAGGAGAAAGGATGGAACAAAAAAGAAGGACAGAGGAGCCCCTGGAAAGGGAAGAGGTGGGAAGGAAGAGCAGTACTTCTGAAGTATCTCCCATGTACCCGCCACCCTTTACCTTGCGGCCCCCCTGCCAACCCCCCAGGAAGCGGGCGTCTGACCTCAGCCAGACATCAGCCTGGGTCTGACCCCAAAGCTTCCCCTGCACCGCAGGCCTTGGTGGGGGTGAAGGGAGACCAGGAGAAACTGTGAAGCCAAGGAAGAGAGAGATTCGACGAATTCCGTRTCATTAAGATTTTAACAAAATGAGAAACAGAGTTTTTCCAATTATGTATMTCTTTCTAGTATTTAAAGAAAACAGAAAAATCTCTCAAGCCCAAATCCTTCAGATAAAACACACAGGTTTATCAAACTTTTAACTAAAGTTTAATCCCACTGTTATTAAGTACAAGAATATCTTTCCAATAACTTYTCCAAAGTAAGGATTCTAATAGAAKCAGAGATCTGAGTTTTTAAAGATCTACAGTGAGAACCTTTTTAGAACCAAGGCAACTGACATAACTTGTCCACCAGTGAATGGGTGACAGAGACAAGGACAGCTATTAATGTGACTTTAACAGTTTCTGGGACTCACCACCACCTGCTCCTGACTCTTCCTAGTGGTACAGTGCTAATATGAAATGTTCCTGAAACTGTAAAACCAGAGAACAGGGAGACTGGGATCACCCATGGAAATGACCCTTCCCTTCCAAAGACCATGTGCTGACCATCCTCAACCACCTCATACGAAACCTGTATTCCAGGAAGACAACAATCAGAGCTGTGCTCACGCAGGGAGGGGTGTGTGTATGTGTGCTTAAACACATGTTAAATATAACATCATGCACACTGCGGTGCCTTTCAAAAAGAAGTTCTGCATCACCCCATCTACACATCTCAAMCCCCACATCCTTCCTATGGCAGCCATGGCATAGCATCCTGTGCTTCACTGGACCAGCCCTGATGACAGACACGTTACTTCATTTTGCTATTAGAAACAAAGCTGCAGCGTAAGCTTCTTGTCCAGAGCCCGTGATCTGAGAGCGGATTGCACTGCTGGGTGAGCTAAGGCACCACAGAGACCACATCACCAACCACCCCAAAAAGCTTCGCCAATTTACCCTTCACCAGCTTGGTATCAGAATGCCTCCCTGACCACACCTTTGTCCCACCAGGTATTACTGAAATGTTCTCATCCTCTGCTATTTAATGGGAGAAGCTTGGAATGGCAGTTTCCCCAAGTTAGATATATATTATATTATATGTAATTTATCTCTATATATGTATACATATATAAAATATATATTTTAAACAATAAACCATTTCTTTATACCTTTTGCCCATTTTTTCCTGAGTTGTTTATTTTTTCTTATAGATTTATAAGGGTTCTTTGTATGTTAATGGAACTATCCTACATCTGTATAACCTATTAGAAGTACTTTTCCTARTTTAATATTACTTTTCGACTTAAATGTACTGATTCCCTCTGTCTGCTAGACATGTATCAGGTTTAGAAATGCATTCCACAGTCAAAGGTCATTTAAAAAAAAAAAAGTTGCCTATATTGTCTCAAAACAAAGCCATGCCCTAGGAGAGACAGCAAGGGCCAGAGAATGGGCAAACCTGGGAGCAAAAAAATTTAAAGCTACCAACCAATAATGGTTGTCTGGTTTCTCACTCAAAACACCTTTCAGAGCATTTTAAAAAACATACCATATTTGTAGCCTATTTAAATCATTCTCATATACCAGATAACTGAGATTGGAGATAGCTGTTAACATATTAGTTCTTACATTAAATTCAGATAAAYTAATCATGGTCAGACTTTCTGGATTTTATTTTCACTTGTAGCTCAACTTTTCTTTGTTTTCAAAGGATTTGATTTAGGGCTGGGGTTRTAGCTCAGTGGTAGAGTACTTGCYTTGAATGCAWGAGACATTGGGTTCGATTCTCAGCACCACATAAAAATAAATAAATAAAATAAAGATATTGTGTCCATCTATAACTAAAAAAAATTTTTAAAATAAGGATTTAGTGTTAGATTGGATTAATAAAATCCAGTTTTTCAAAAATTGGATTTATTATTTTCTTAATAACCTGGAAAAAAATTAAGATTTATACTAATCAGTTATCACTACACTTGAATACTGCTAATTTATATTACTTTTTAACAAAACAAGATTTGAATCTTTGAGTTTGTGTCATTAGCTAGTCTCTCCTAAGTCAACGGCTGAGGTACGTTCCCAGAATTAAAGAGGCTGCTTCCTCCATTCACTCTATGGTCACTCCATCTCGTTCCCCTCTTATTAAAATGCTGCCCTTTACTTTCACACAAGCCCACTTCATGAGGATGTCTTTACATAATTCAGGGTATCTCAAATTGATTGCATCTGTTCTCAGGGGACACTTGGCAACATCCGTGGCTGCCACAGCTGTGTGTGCGCATCCTGCTGCACAAAGGCGGTGGTGGGGCAGGGGGTGGCCTTGGAAGGCATCAGGCCTCTAATGTCAACAGTGCTCAGCTTGAGAATCCCTGGAAAACCAGGTAAGGTGAAAGTACTATTTCTTTACATGTCGTAGTGAGTAACTTTTAAGTGACCAATGTTCAAGGATTATAGTAACAAAGGGTAGAAAGATGTTTAACTACTGTGATCATGTTGTCTCTGGATTCTTTTTTTTTTTTTTTTTTTTGGAATGAGGTATTGACGCTAGGGCATTTAACCACTGAACCACATCTGCAACCCTGTTTTACATTTTATTTAAAGACAGGGTCTCGCTGAGTTGCTCATGGCCTTGCTAAGTTGCTGGGGCTGGCTTTGAACTTGCAATACTTCTTCCTCAGCCTCCTGAGCTGCTAAGGTTACAGTGTGCACCATGGTACCTGGTTTGCCTATGAATTTTAAAGATCTGGGACAGACAACTTGTAATTCTTGATATGTATAAAAACTATTTTTAAATGTACAGAATCTACAGTTAATCTGTGGCAAYAGTACTCTGATAGTGCTTTTAGAAGGTTTAGAGGATAGAGCATGTAAGCAAAATCACATCCTTGAAAAGGATTAGGCTTAACATAATTTAAAATACTTTATGTAGTTAAAAAGTACCAAGAAATAACACCTCATAAAGCCCCCCCACCCCTTTTGATACTGGAATTGAACCCAGAGGTGTTTAACCACTGAGCCACATCCCCAGCTCTTTTTTATTTTATTTAGAGACAGGGTCTTGCTGAGTTGCTTGGGGCCTTACTCAGTCTGAGGCTGACTTTGAACTTGTGATCCACGTGCCTTAGCCTCCCCAGCCATTGAGATTACAGGAATGCACTGAACCTAGTGCCCATTTGTTTTTAAAGATGTACATGGCAACAACATTTTGATACCCATCTTCTTTGAAATCCTTGTCACTCATTCTGATTAAGCATTAAGTATATAAATGTACTAAGCAGATTCACCTAAACTGGTCAAATTTTAATAAAAACAAATGTAAAGTTCTGCTATTATTTCTCTCAAATTATTCTAACTCTTCTAAGTCTTCTTAAAGCAACATGATAACAGCACAACTGCTGAATGCCTGGATCTGCTCAGAACTTTTTACCTTCTAGGGCAGCATGAGGGGCCTCCAACTCTGACAGAGGGAGCCCTGTTCTCAGGCCCTGATCCTGCCCAAGCTCTGTCACTGACTACCTCCACAACAGAGCCCTTCTCTTCTTTCCATGCCTTCATTCCAGACAGTATTTGCAACTTTGGGATTTGTGTTCGCAGACTTTTTAAAAGCAACTTTTGACATCTATCTTTTTTTTTTATCATTGATTTGGAAAACAGTTTTTAGCAGGCTTAACAGGCGAGTTCTTTGTTAATTCCCAGCAGAAATGCCACACAACAAACCTAAAAGTTACTCTGCATATGCATTAGGGAATGATAATAGCTATGACCCAGCACAAGCTGTCATCAATGCACGTTGCTTTCAKGAAAGCCACCGTAACCAGCAGGACAATGTGAAACATACCTGGWTGCTGCTGTTGGAGGCTGCCGAATTCACTTGAGCTGTACTTGCTGAGAGGGAATCAAGGAAAGCTTGGTCAGCCACTGAATTTCCACATGAAAACTGATCTTTTCCATCATTAGGTAACATCTGAATGTTAGGAAAAAAAAMCACAATTATTTTCATAGATTAGGGTCATTTCACAGTGGGAGCCTTTGAGGACAAGTAAGCATTAGCTTCTGTTATGGAAAAGGGCTTCATGTTCTTTGAGGCTAAAAATTCTCCTCTAAGCACTGCTTTTGCTGCATTCTACAATTTTGATAAGTTGTATTTTCATTTTTACTTGAACTGTTATTTCTATTGATATTATTTCTTCTTTGATTCATATGCTATTTAGAATTGTATTTAAAAATTCCAAGTATTTGCGGATTTTCCAACTATCTTTCTGTACCGATTTTGAGTTTGGTCTCAGTGCAAATATTTTATGTGTTCTCTCTTTTTTTTTAAGGAGTATGTACTTAAAATTTTTTTTAACTAAAAAAATTGTGTGTGTTGGGGATCAAACTAAGAACCTTTGTGCACACTAGGCAAGCATTCTATTACCCCTGAGCTACACACCCAGGCCTCTCCTTTTAAACATGCTGAGGTATGTTTTATAGTTCAGAACATGGTCTGTCTTGAGGATGTTTCGMATGAATTTGAGGTGAAAGTTCATTCTGTTGTTGTTCTATGAGGCAGTCCACAGATATCCATTATATCCAGTTGACTGACAGTGCTGTTGAGTTCAACTAGGTTCTTACTGAATTTTTGCCTGTTGGATCTGTTCATATTTGACTTAGGTGGTCTATATTCTTAAAGAACAAGCAAACCCAAGAATGTGTGAAAACACTATTTCTTTCTAGAAGTAAGTGGAATTCTAGAAAATAAAATGCCAATATCAACTTAAACCCTCAGACYTTTCCTAATCTTGTTCATTTTTAGGATTCCAGATGCATAGCACACAGAGCTAACACAGGATTAAATCTCATACCCATGGACTGAGCTCAGAGGCCTGTGAACCATGGGGACAAGGTTGGGGTATGTGGGTGTACGTATCTGAAGGAAGATCTACAGATCTCCTCAGATTCTCCTGAAGGTTTCAGACTCCCCAGCCCTCCCTCTCAATCAAGGACAGACAGGCAGCCTTCCTTCCCACTCCATAGCTGGGCCCCAGGGAAACACCTTCAGGGCATTCTTGCCCTCCACTGGAGCTGGCTGAAGCACTTCTTGACCTATCTTCAACTTGACTAATAAGCACCAGAGGCGAGAGGCAAGCTCACCAAGCACCTATTACTCTTTGAGACACCTAGAGACTACCAGCAGGGGGTGCCAGGCAGTTGACTCAGWAGAGGGTTTTGTCTCTGATGGGTCTGTCCCAAGCAGGGACCTCCTTCAGGGTGTTGTGCCACTGTCCTTGGGACCTATCACAGCAGAGCACAAGGCAATTCTCATAGCCGGGCACTCAAGCCACTCTTCTGCCTAAGAAAACGGGAGAAGGAACTGAGAGGCATGTCCTTTGAGAAAATCTGTTTAAATTTTGTGAATTGACTACAATAAACATGTTCAGGCAACAGCTATTACACAACACCAGCAAAGGAAAAGTAAGAATTTTAATTCAGAAATACTAAAAGGAACTTAATCTAAATGTCTGTAGTTACTCTTTGTAGCTTGGATCTATAGGTAATATACTTTCTTAGTTCCTCTTCAATGTATTTTCCATATTTTATACAATTTGCATTTATTTCTTTTATAATTATTACTTTTGCATTTTTATGATTTTTTTGGACAAATATTACTGTCTTCTGGCTGTGCTTTGACAAATGATGAAAAGATGCTTGAAGTTCTTACTTCTACGTAGTCTGTGGGGACGAGCCCTCGCTCTCCTTTGCTGTTTCTTCCTTCCAGCCATCCTCCACCCACATCCTGATAAAGTTACCAAGAAAGAAAAGAAAAAGACCACAGTTAGAATTTCCTGTAGAAATTTCACTTTGAAAATTGTTATAAATGTATTTGTAAAATATTACAAATATAAATTGTTAGACTGAAAATCAATAAACATTAAGATTTTTATTACTTCAGAGTTAACATTATACAAAATTTTAAATTTTAAAACCTTTTTTACTCCAGAAAATGATGTGATTTACAAACAAGCCAAATAACACTTTGATAATAAGTGATCAAAGACTGAAAACAGCCTTTCCCTAGATCACCATCATCTGTGATTTCTATTCACTCTATGGCAGATGACAAAAATAGTCTGCAGTTTTGTCAAGTGAAGAASGCACATCCCCATCCTGCTCCTGTACTGCCTCTTGTGACCTCTCTGGCCAACACAACGAGGTGGAAATAGTCTAGGGGCATTTGGAGCCTGTCCTTAAGGGGCTCTACACACTGTGGCTCATTCTTTTGGAACCCCAAGCCACCATGTAAATTAATTTGAGATGTTATATGATRAGTCTTCCTGTAGCCCAACCCAAAGCCAGCCCTGCAGCCCAGGAGAACTGTGAGATACATGGATGAGTCCCTCTCAGACTATTTAGCCCCTGGGTGGGCATCAGGTGACTGGAGACACCAGCATTCCAGACCAGAAGAACCACTGGCTGACAAGTAGGTTCCTGTGCAATAACACACAGGTGTTGGTCTGAACCACAAAGTTTTGGAAACATCTGTCATTTAGCAAAAGCTAACTGATTCATGGTTTGGTTTTTTTTCCAGACAAAAAATATTAATAGACTTAAATTATGCTGCAGAAGTCTATATCAAGATTCCCAGTTTTCTACATATTATTGCCACAAAATTCTACTTTTTTCTCCTGAAGATAGTTTTCTTACATTTGTAAATAATGCCATAATTAGTTAATAATTATCTGAATCTGAATAACCACATTCTTATTTAATTAACAMACAAAATCTGAATGCATTTATGGGGTGCCATGTGATATTTCAATACACAAATACACTGTGTAATGTTCAAATCATGGTAAATTTAATTATCRCCTCAAASATTTATTATTTCTTTTTGGTGAAACCATTCAAAATTCTTTTTTTTAGCTTTTTTGAAATATACATTATAGTTATCTAACCACATTTAAAAAAATAATTTTAAATTACAACTTTGATACTTTTTGAAGCCAAGAGTGACTGGAAGAAATACTATTTTACTAAGAAAATGAAGAAATACTCAGTGGACAAAAAATTATGCAAACAAAAAATTTTTTACTACCATTGAAAATGGAGGGCTGGGGTTGTGGCTCAGCAGTAGAGTGCTCACCTAGCATGTGTGCGGCCCTGGGTTCGATACTCAGCACCACATATAAATAAATAAAAATAAACATATTGTGTCTAACTACAACTAAAAAAAAAAAAATAAATGTTAAAAAAAAAAAAAAAGAAAATGGCACCTAGGGCTGGGGCTGGGGCTCAGAGGTAGGGCACTTGCCTGGCATGTGTGAGGCACTGGGTTTGATTCTCAGCACATGTATAAAGAAATAAAATCTATCGACAACTAAAAAAAATATATTAAAAAAAAAGAAAATGGAACCTATTTGCTAATATATACCCTAACAAATCATCCAAAATTAGTACATGTACTTGGTTCTACCCAGTAATTCTTTCTTGCATCTAAGGCAATAAAAATAGGTCCTTAAAATACTGTCACTATGAAGACCCTACCATCACCTCTGCCAACTGCCTTGTCCCTCCCTGACCTTAGTGCTGCCAGTCCTCACTCTGCATCTGGGGACGCACCTRTGTCTGCTCCTTCCCTTCTCCCAAGAGCACCCTCAGCTTTCCTGGCACCTTGCTCCAGCCTGCTCTCCAGCTCTGCACCACCAGGTTTCAACGGCCGCCACCCTGCAGGGCAGGACTGGCCGTTCACTGCTCTTCCCACCTGGCATGTCCAAAGTTAACATTCTTGGACATACCTGACCAACAGCCTTTAACGCAGCCGCCATTCTCAGGTGCAAAGGCCGAGCGCCTCAGTGACCCTTGCCTTTTTCCTCTGCTTAAGCACTGCGTCCCACAGGCCTGGCGCTCCAAGCTTTCTCCTCCATCTTTCACCTCCTATTGCCATAACTCAAAATCACGTCCTGAGACTCCAGCCTCCTCTACAACAATAACGAAAGCCACCACTAGCCTCCAAGGAAGGCTCAGCTCACTGGACGAAGCCCACAGTCGACAGCCTGGCTCCCAGAGGGGTCTGATAGTTTTGAAAACCAGTTTTCTTAGCCTTTTTCCTACCAGCTTATACACACCTGTGCTCTAGGACACCTGTTTACACGTAACAGGCCACAGAGCAGACAAAAAAAGGACAGGCTTCAAAGACGAACAGATGTAACTTTGACTCTTCTTCACTTACAAGCAGAGTGATCACGGGCAAGTTACCTAATCTGAACATCTCATGCCCACCTTGGGGACTTCATGGCAAAACACATTCAAGATTACGTACATTGCACTTGCCAAACACCTGGCTCTAAACTGTTAACAAATGATAATTGATATGGCTAAAAAAAAAAAAAAAAAAACACTGAATGCTTTTGAATCTATACACCTTTGATGCAACTACTCTGTCTGGGATGTCTTGGCAGTCCTGTCTGATGAAACCTCAATAGGGCTTCAAGATCACCTAGTCAGATTTCCTTTTGCATCAAAGCTCATTCTGGTTAAAACAAATAGAAATAGCCTCCTCCTCTGCTGAGCTGCCAACAGCAACTGGCCAATAACTCTGCACCTTGAGGTAGATCTCCTTGAATTCCTCTTCTATCACAAATTCCTACGGAGAAGGAGGTCTGACTGTCTTGAGGTTTACTCTTCAGGGTACCTGGTACACAGTCTCATGCACAGTAGGAAGGAGCCCAGTGAAACTACTGAATGAAAAATAATATTTTGGATGAACTTCAAATCTACAATGCTTTAGTTTATGGTATAAAAGGATGCTGAACACATTTTCTAGGACATGTATTCCCAAAGGATAAGCCCAGGAAATGGGAAATTGCTTTAAAAAAAGTATGGCTACAGAAAACGTGATCTTCTGAACTAACCTATCAAACTCGAGGTTGAGTGTATCTAATACTGTTTACTAACATTAACACTCTAGTGAGTTTTTAAGCTCAGTTTTCAAATCAGCAAAGTTTTATGTGGCTATGGATATTGGGCTAATGGGTTATTTGATAATATTAGAAAATTGATTATTTTTTTTGGGGGGGGATACTGGGGATTGAACTCAGGTGCACTCAACCGCTGAGCCACATCCCCAGCCCTATTTTTTGAATTTTATTTAGAGACAGGGTCTCACTGAGTTRCTTAGCACCTCGCTATTGCTGAGGATGGCTTTGGACTCACGATCTTCCTGTCTCAGCTTCCTGAGCCACTGGGATTACAGGCATGTGCCATGGCCAGGAAATCAATAATTTTGTTGGGTGGGATAGAATGGTATTGTCATTATGTCTAAAACCAGCTCCATTTCTCAGAGATACATATTGAAATCTTTTGTTTGGTTTTGTATTGTAAGCCAGGATCTTGGTATGTTGTCCAGGCAGGCCTCAAATTACTGGGCTCAAGCAAACCTCCTGCCTTGGCCTCCCAAGTATCTGGAACTACAGAAGAGCACCACTGTGCCATGCTTGAAATCTTTATGCATGAAATGATACAATGAAATCTGCTTCAAAAATAACCAAGTGTGTTGCGGGAGAGGGAAGCTAGAGGGATAATCAGGAGTAGAGATGACATGAGACTGACCACGGTGAGCTGATTACTGAAACTGGATAACTGGACGATGGGGACAAAGCTATGGTTAATATATTCTCTCTCCCAATATGTATTTGAAATTTTATAAAATAATTTAAAAATGAAAATAATGTGCCTACTGCAGGCCAGACAGTACACAAAGTCTAGCCTACAAAGGGCAAGGAAACAGAARAACCTGGTTTCCAGCCTTAAGGAACTCCTTGGTTCATGTGGGAAGCAGCCACACACACAGTGGGTACAGCAGGACAGGGCAGGCAGTCTCACAGGGCCTCACAGAGTACTCAGTGATGGCCCCAAGGATTCCACTCCTTCTGGAGAAGACATCCTTTAAAACCATGGATAGGATTTTCTATTGTGTTTTAAGATACAGACACATCAGGGTGGAACAACTGTGAGGAGGCATGCCAGGCAGGGCAACGACAAGAGCAAGAGTGCAAAGTCACAACAAATGGGTCTGTGTGCTTGTGAGAGCGTGCGCATAAGTGTGTGCGTGCTTGTAAGAGACCAAGTGTGAGAATGTGACTGTGAACCTGTAAATGTGCATTTGTAAATGTCTGTAGACACTAAGTGTGAGAGTGTGCTGGTACGAGTCTGTAAGAGTGTGTGGTRGTGCAAGTGTGTTCATGAGTGAGGATGTGAGTGTGTGGCTATGTATGTGGGTGCACATGCCTGTGCATGCGTAAGAGAGGGTGTGCATATGTTGGAAAGCTGGAGAGGAAGGACGGGGCCAGATGGCGGGTGTCTTGTAGACCTACAGCTGGCAGTTTGAACAGGCCACAGGGGGAGAAGGGCCAGCCAGGAAGGCACCCAATCCAGGTACCAAGGGGAGGGCTTCACTCAAGGCAGTGACAGTAGAGACAGAGAGGGGAAAGGCTAGATGTGAGCAAGTGTAAGGCCAGCGTCTTTCTGTGATGTACAGCTGTAGCTGAGGAGAATGAATGGGTGTGTTCCACATTAGAAAAAAAGAGACTTCAGGAAGAGGACTGGCTCAGCATGTGTGGTGAGCCTGTAGGTCTCACACCACAGGAGGTTTGAAGGGCTTGTGAAAAAGCGACATAAAGATGCCTAGGACTCCGCTGGACAGCCAAGTGGGAGCTTCAGCAGCCTGGCCAAGCTGCAGATACCAGGAATTTAGCACACAGGAGGCAATAAAAAATTCTGAAAATGTGTAACATGAGGAAAACAGGCCAAAGATGTGAATACCTACATCACGAGGCAGAAGGAAGAGCGGATTATAAAAGCATGTGAAGATGCATGCATGTGTATCTAAGTACACAACAGGAGAGAGGCACAGGGCATCAGATAGGATCAGCAGCCTGTGCTAGAGGCCATCAGTAAGAAAAACCAATGCAGACCTCTCTGAGCAAGGGTAAGGCTTCCAATTTTTGTGTCTGGAGACACCTACAGGAACACAAGACTACCCTGTACTCCGTGTGGGTAACTGAGCAAGGGCATGGTCAGAGAAGCAGGACATACAGCGTGGAACCCAGAGACAGTGGCAGGGACTAGGGAGGACGCCTGCCAGAAGCACAGGCCAGAGGTGTGCACAGAGCGGTGTCAGAGTTAGGCACACTCAGTGGTGTTGGGGATGAGTAGGAAGAGGTAAAGAAAGAGTAACCACAAAGTTTTGCTGATTTTACAACTGTAAAGACTGACTCCCCAGGCCTGCTTTTGGTCCTCCTCTAGCTGCATATACCCAGATGAAATACTAGTAATTGAGGCAATTTTTCTTAAAATTTTACTACATGGACAGTTTTCAGCAGCTGCCCACACTGCATTAGAGATTAACCCTACAAAAATTATGTTCATCTCATAATTTTACTATACTCTGTAAGAAGGTTTACATGTAAAAAGGACAATTAATCAGAAGGCTGAAGCAGGAGGATTATAAGTTCAAGATCAGCCTGGACAACTTAGTAAGACCCTGCCTCAAAAAAAAAAAAAGGGGGGGGGCTGGGGTACTATATCTCAGTGGTAGGGCACCCCTGGGTTCAATCCCCAGTACTGAAAAAAAAAATCAGAATAAAATAAAATAAAAAATTAAGCAGACTGAGGCACATATCACACAGAGGTAGTAGAAAACACTTTAACAGGATCTGGACCCAAGATGCTGCACTACTCAGCAACAAAAATCATAAAAGAAATTCAATTGTCAATAAAGATTTCATTTTGTGAAAGGAAGTATGCTGAAGCTGAGGAAGAACCTGAGATAAAAGATCACATGGCTGCTTATCAGAGAGGGTGGAAATACACCTAGCTARGTGAGAAAAGATACAAACACGCGTAAGGACACGTGTTAATGTGTGTGGGTACATACCTGAGCATGTGAAGTTGCATGCATATGTATCTATGTACACATGTGCAAACAGTTCTGTGAAGATGCAGAAATCCTTGTTATACATAYAGCCATTTCTTCACTGAATAAAAGCTGAAGCAGTAACTTATAACTCAGCAGAGACAACTCGCTGGGAGCAAGGCTGATGCTTTGCTAGTACATACTGCCCTCTGGCAATCTACTTTAGGGTTGGAGCTCAGAACAACAACAGCGCTCAGTAAGCAGAGCTGTGAGGAAGGTCAGCACCATCTCTCCTGCATTCTAAAGACACAGCACCATGAGGGGAAAGCAGACTGAACTAAGCTCCACAACAACAGAGGGTGCTTGAAAGGTTATCAATAACAAAGAGAACAATTCTGAAATAGAGATATAATAAACTCAATCATCTCCCCAGCTATCTCTAGGAAACTTTTCTCAGTGTTTATGTAATAGCCTCTTACTACATCATCAACAGAAAAAAATTTAAGCRACAGAAAAGAATTAATGTGAGTATGAATGATCAACTTAGCAAAAAAAATTATGCTAAGTGAAGCTAGCCAATCCCTAAAAAACAAATGCCAAATATCTTCTTTGATATAATGAGAGCAACTAAAAACAGAGCAGGGAGGAAGAGCAGAAGGAAAAGACTAACATTAAACAGAGACATGAGGTGGGAGGGAAAGGGAGAGGAAAGGGAAATTGCGTGGAAATGGAAGGAGACCCTCATTGTTATACAAAATTACATATAAGAGGATGTGAGGGGAATGGGAAAAAAAACAAGGAGAGAAATGAATTACAGTAGATGGGGTAGAGAGAGAAGATGGGAGGGGAGGGGGTATAGTAGAGGACAGGAAAGATAGCAGAATACAACAGTTACTAATATGGCAGTATGTAAAAATGTGGATGTGTAACCAATGTGATTCTGAAATCTGTATACGGGGTAAAAATGGGAGTTCATAACCCACTTGAATCTAATGTATGAAATATGATATGTCAAGAGCTTTGTAATGTTTTGAACAACCAATAAAAAATAAATAAATAAATAAACCTTAAAAACAAGTCCAAAAAATGAGCATGGCAGTGCAAGCCTCCCAGAGACTTGGGAGGCTGAGGGAGGATGATCACAAGTTCAAGGCCAGTTTCGGCAACTTAAGGTAGAGCATCCCTGGGCTCAATGTCCTATACAAAAAAACAAGGAATAACTAAATGTTCCCTTACCGGATTTGTAATAGTGATGATTTCTCCTTCATTAACCGTCAGTTCATTATTCCCAGGTTCAGCAGCAAAATCATACATAACCCGAGCCTATTGAGGGTACAGAAGAGAAGAAAAAATTTCAGGTGAATGTAGACCCAATAGTAAAATCCAAACCACCTTTACTGTCCACTTTGTAAACAGACTGGTATGAACAGAAAGGGGGCCGGGGCCGACTGTAAAAAGGGAAGACCCATTACCAGAATGGTTTGTCAGCTGTACTGGGGACAGGTAACACCAATGGTGAGACAGTCCCTCATGTTCTGGAAGGGGGACAGTTTTCAGCAGCTGCCCACACTGCATTAGAGATCAACCCTACAAAAAGAACTCTAAATACACCTGTTTCATTAAAATTCAAAACCATGCATGAAGCTGAAATACAGATGCTGCTGATTCTGGGACAGCTCGCTCTCAGGAACCGAGGCAAGGGATGTCAGACTCCTCCATCTTTAGAAGAATCCCTTACTATTAAAACTCTCACCAGCCACATCTGGAGCCAGCCACTGGGATAAACCCGACAATGCAGCATCCTGTGGCCCCCTAACTCAGACCCATAAGCTCCGTGTAACAGACACTCTGCTACACCACTTGCCACCGCACCGTGCCCTACAGGGCCGAGTGGGTCAGGCAAAGAAAGCTGCAGTTTGACAACTTCTCCCCGAAATGAACTCTCCATTTCAAATACAACAGACCAAGAGGAAGCTGCTGTGGCTGAGGAGAGGAGGACCTGTTCTTCAGGCTCTTCCTCCGGAGGAGCCTGGGGACGGTGGGCCAGAAGTGCATGCTTGCAGGGACACTGCCAGGCACAGCATCATGACAGAAAACCCCCATGATAAAAAGTGCACATGCGTGTGCACAGAGTGTCCTCTAGACAGCCTTACAGTGTCTATAAGGCAGACCTGGCCCACTCCCCATCTTAATGATTATACCCCATGGACTCTCTTCCACGAGGCATCTCATCAACYGGGGACGGCATGTCCCTGGAAACACAGGGCTGCCTTAAAAGCAACTGGTTCCCACGGGCAAATTCAGTTACCCAACAGGATGGGGCTCACTTGCTCGACACCCACCACCGGGCAGGAACAGGCCAGGCCCTTCTGCTCACCTCAGCCCTCTCCATAAGTGCCTGACTGTGCTTGAATTTCTTTTAATGGGGATGAAGGACTCGCCACCAGTGACAAAGATTGGAGGAAAAAAATCCCTCCTTTGAAATAAAGAAAAAAATAACAAGATAGACTGATGGGTGGACATGTGATAAAGCAGGCATCATAAATGCAAAATGTCCAGAATCTAGAGAGTGGATTTATGGTATTTCGTGGAAAAGTATTCCAACTTTTCTACACATTTGAAAATTTTCCTTATAAAATGTTGGAGCAAAACAAATGGTAGTGGAGTCTGTCGGTTAAGAAATGGCATCAGTTCTTTTTTCTCTGTCCCTGACAGGCCAGGAAGGGGCTGAGAGGCAGAGGCAAGGGAGCAAACCCTGCCAGCTCTGCAGTCAACTCGGGTCAGGACAAAGGACAAAGAAACCACGTGGAGGTATTTTTCTCACACAGCTGCAAAGTAGATAGAATTCTGTTTGTCATGTTGTGGGATATTTTTTAAAAACATGTCACATCAACCTCAGTCCTCCGTGCAGCGAGGGCAGCTAGCAGATAAATGCACAGGGTGCTCTGCGGAAGGAAGTGAGCTTCCCCTGGAGAGGAGCCCAGTATGCTAACTGCGCCAAGCTCCAGGGTGGCAGAGGAACCTGCTGTTGTGTCACTGTTCCTTAAGAATCCTGCTTAAAATTTTAAAAGTCCAGCTAAATCCAACCAGTCCCCAAATACAGAATTCCTAAGCCCTGTGTTTAGGAATTTATAGTTTGGTGAAACCAAATGTGAAATAAGTAAAAAAATGAAGACATGGACACCCGCCCCCGACACATTCAGACATCACCGCACACTTACTCACCCCTAGGTTTGAATGTTTGTCTTTTCTAAAATTCAGGTTGAAATTTAATCCTAAATGTCAGCTGGGAGGTGGGGCCTAATGCCACCACAAAGGGCCCGTGGGAGCAAGTTCACCCTCTCCTGCTGTCCTGCTATGTAAAGACACAACACCCTCCCTCCACGGGGCAGAGTGTTCAAGGCACCATCTTGGAAGCAGACAGACCAGGCCCTAGCCTCCCAGCCTTGATCTTGGACTGCCTGGCCTCCAAAATAGTGAGAAAATATTTTTCTGCTCTATAAATTTCCTAGTCTCTGATGTTCTGTTACAGCATMATAAAGGATTATAAGACACATGTGGAAAAATATAACCAGTTAGCTTTATTTAAAACATTGAATTAAAAATTATTAAAACAACTGACRAGCGTTCTTTAAAATCAGAAGTGAAAATAATTTTGGAGAACAAAAGGATTTAATAAGCCTAACATGGAACAGGCATAACATGTCACAAGAAAACAACAACAGAGCACTCAGCCTGGAGAAGGTAAGGCTCAGTAAAACCGGGAGCTGTCAGCACTGAAAACCTCACTGCCTCTCTGTCACCTGCCTCCCCTCTTTTGCTTCTCCTTATTTTTGGCTTCCCCCTGTTTTCTCACTTCTCTCCTCTAGTTCACTACTGCTGTATCCAAACCAATCCAGATGCTGCCCTCAACCTCATATGCCCATCTGTCTCTTCTTGTGTGGTCCATTTTCCTACACTGCCTTTTCCAACGTCAGCTACACACTTTAAGAAATGTTTCCACAGAATTCCTGGTCAGTAGATAATCTCCCACTATATATCTAGCAGACACTGCCAACCACAATTAATCTCAATAAAAGTTTCAAAAAGTTACAGACAAGGTGAATCAAGAGTAGACACCAGTCTTCCCTGCGCTCCCTTAACCACAGGTGCACCCCCCGCACGAGGAAACAGCTCCTCTTCTACGGGTCAGGAGCATGCAACCTGCACTCCTCCTTCCCTATGTGTCCACATCTCTGATTCCGTCTGCCTCCCCTCACTTTCTTCTTCCTGCCAGGCTCCAAGTGACTACAAAAATCACCAGCCTTAATATAAAATGTAAGTTATAAAGCATATCTGCAACTCATTTCCAAAGGGTTAATTAATCCTTCTATTACATAAGAACCTCTAGAAATCAAAAAGACTGAAAACCAAAAAATGGGTAGAAGAACAGTCATATTAAACTACAGATGACTCTTTTTAAATTTTTTAGTGGTAGTTGTGAAGCCCGATTTAAAAATAGGTACTTAGTGTAGTTAGGTAAATTGGGTCTAATATCGAGTAAAATCAAGAATGAAGGCCATATTGAGAATGGAGTCCAGGGAAAGGGGAATTGAAAATGTCCCCAAGGCCCAGAGCCCATCCCAAGGAAATGTTAATTAAAGCAGCTCCCAGCAAACATGGAGATGCTAATCCAAAAGTCCTTYCTGCTCAGATTACTGCCCACCTGTCCCCTACCCTTTGGGCTTTCCCCACCTACACTGCAAGGTAGGACAAGGACAGGAACTCTGACAGAAATGCGGGAAAGCAGAATGAAGACCTTAGCTATAAAAGAGGGAAGACCTCCCCCTTCCACGGATTCCACCTCTTGGGTCCCCTTCTTCCTCCAGAGAAATCTTTTCTGCTGTCCTTAATAAAGCTTCTACTTTCCACTCTAAACTTGCCTCGGCATGCTTCTCTGGTGTTATACTTCAGCATCGGGAAGCAAGGACTCGTCACCGGGTACACAGCGGTAACAGTTGGACACAATATCTTTATTTTATTTATTTTTATGTGGTGCTGAGGATCGGACCCAGGGCCTTACATGTGCTAGGCGCGCGCTCTCCGGCTGAGCCACAACCCCAGCCCTTAAAGTACTCATCTCACCCATGGGGAAGAACAAATTAACCTTCACCCTGCTTCTATAATTCTGCTGATCTGATGGGTGAGGAATGCTACCCCAATACAGCTTTAAATATACAATTTCACTTGGGCCCATGGATCTTCAACCTCGCCCACAGGCCATGTGTTGGAGGCCCGGCCACCAGCTGAGGTGACAGAGGGAGGTGGTGCAGCCTGCAGGGAGAACCTGAGGGGAGGCTGTGCCCTGGAAGGCCCTGGGGGATTCCGCCCCTCCTCCTCCCTTTCCCTTTGCTTCATCACACCCTCCCCTGCTATGGGCTGTCATGCCACAGGCCTAACAGCAACAGGGCCCACCAACCGAGTACTGGAACTGCCAAAACTGTRACCCCAGATAAAGCCAACCTTTTCTAAGTTGATTATCTCAGGTAGGTATTATCGTGCCAGAAAGCGAACACACACTTTGACCCACAAATTTCACCCAGGGAATTCATTCTCTAAACGCACCAGTGCACGTGGACATTTACTGCAGCCACGTGCAGTATCAGAAGACTGGAGGCCACCCAGCATCTACCAACAGGGAGCTGCTTACATCAACCAGGGCACAGCACCACCATGGAATACACCGGAGCAGTACGAGAATGAAAAAAACCTCTGTGGAAACCTGGAAGGAATATACAGCAAGTGAGAAAAGCAAGGTGTAGAACAGGACACAGAGTATGCCACTTTTTCACGTTTTACATTTTCCAGTATTTCCTTAAAGAAATACTCAATAAATACAACAAGTATTTAATTTTAAATTGGTTACCTAGAAAGAGAGCAGAGAAAAATGAGTGGATAAGAAGAAGGATGACAGTGGGATTTCTTGGTATATTTCTGTTGTCGGTGTAACTGTATGCATGTACCAACAGTCTGAATTGAAATTAAAATGGGGGGGCACCACTTATAGTAACAATAAAAGACAAAATAGAAATGAGCTTAAGAAACCACGTACTCAAAAAAATTAAAACTTTGAAGTACTGCCTTACACCACTATCTTGGATGTGCAGACTCTGCTGGAAACACTGAGACCTGAGAGGACCTTCCCTGCCCGTCACGAGGCACAAAACCCTCCCAGGGCCAACTCTGGAGCTGGTGAGAGGCCCAACAGAATCTGTACTAAAGGCTGCAGAAGCGTTAACCATATTTCCAAGCTCCTGTTCTGAGTACTGTTGATTTCTCTRCACGTAAATGTGCTATATGTAAACACAGTATGGTTTTATAACAAGGCAAAAAAGGAAAAGTTTAAAATTGTTCCTTTCCTTGACGAAGGAGTCTGAGTGCCATGAGTTTTGAAAGTTTCCTTAAAAATGTGATTATCTGGTATATTTGCATGCATACACGTGCACACAATTATTCAAAAACATCAGACAGCCAGGGAGAACACAGTGCATGAAAGTCTTGCACACATCATTTCTGACTCAGTCCTAGGTCGCTCTTATCAGCACATCTACTGCTGCTGAGCTGCAAGGTCACTAATTCATTCCCCAACCTCCAGGCAAAGTACAGCGAAATTTGGCTGTGGCTAAGAAAATAACCTCACCTGTCGTGTTCCACAACTGACACACTCAGGGTTACTCCAGGTGAACTGGGCTGCACGAAAAAAAATCACACAAGAAACAGAGATACCTTTTTCTTTGCGTCCTATGACAGCTCCTCTGACCTTAGGGGTCCACAGAAAGAGAGAGAGCACGTGCTGACCCCTTTTACTGGGGAGAAGCTATTCAAATGAGGCGAGGGCTCAGGTTTGAGGGGGTGTTGAGTCTAGTTTCATGATGTCTGCTGTCAGATGACTGACTGACATCTAAGGCCACACCCAAAGGCAGAGCAAGAGAAGGGAACACACAAATGGAGTTTCCATGGACATTCTATCCCAAACAGGGCGAAGAGGTAGGATTACAAAAGAATAGGTGAGTGTAGCTCAACCCCAGGGTATGTCCACTCAGAAGACTGGCTGAACTGGGGAAAGATCGAGTCTCGAGTCATGGCACTACTGCGCCAGACTTCAGCAATCCTTCAGATCCCCTGGTGCATCAGGACTGGAAGGCGTGGTCCACTCAATGAAGTTCCCCACACTCACCCTCAGCCCCAAATTAAAATGGTTTTATTTCTCCTGACTGTAAAACTACATGTTTACTGGAGGAAAAAAACCATTAAGTTGAAAAGCAAAGACCTCCCAATCCCAGACCCGGGACAACTAGTAAAGCCTCACTTCCAGTCACAGTCCTGATCCCCCACCAGCGCAGGGCACTGACGCAATAGTTCATTCTTCCCAAGGGTGTGTGTGTGTGTGTGTGTGTGTGTGTGTGTGTGTGTAGCATGATTATTATCACTCTAGCAATTGCCAGCCAGCTTTGGAGCCAGACACAGGAGTCCAAATCCCCATTCCACCATTTCGCCAGACTTGAAAACTGTGGCTTAATCCCTTAACCTCTGGTTTCAAATTCCTTAAGAATAAGATAAGGATAACAGCCCATGCCTCGTGACACAAACGAAAAATCAAGTAATAAAAATAAGAGAACAGTGACCGCCATAGAGGGCTGTAAGCACTAGCTAGCTCTTGTCAGAATGATGAAGAAATACAAAGAAGCCTGCATTCGTTCATGCTTTGATTTTTCTGAATGTTATATGCACATTTTGCTTATGCTAAAATTTGGCATATGTATTTCCTCTTCCCAGACCAAAGATTCTGCAACTATYTCCCCTCCCCCAGTTCAAGGGAAAGTAGAGCCCCTGGCTACTGACTCTCACAAAAGTTGTTTCTGGAGTCTACTATCTCTTGGAATCACAGAGGAACCAGACCTTTCACCCCACTAGCATAGGCATGCTGTGTGGCCTGCAGGGAGGCCCTACATATGGCCCAGGGGTGGGGAGGGCCAAACTCCTAACTCACTGGAGCTGAGGGTAGGAGCTCCCCCAGACCCAAACCACAGTAGGGAAGTGACAGTCCTGGGGAGTGCTGGCCCTCTTCAGCCAAAGGGGAAACCAGCATCTCTCATGCATTCTGGCATGAACTAATGCAGGCTCCTTTGTTTTTCTTCATCATTCTGACAAGAGCCAAAATAAATATTTTTTTGTGTGCATTATGTATATCTGTTTGTATATTTATGTGTGTGTGGTGGGGTATCCCCCCCCCCCCCCCGACAGTACTGGGGATGGAACCCAGGGCTTTGCACATGCAAGGTAAGTTCTCTACCATGGAGCCGTGTCTCCAAACTCCCTCCCCTTTTTTTGAGACAGAATCTCACCAAGTTGCACAGGCTGGTCTGGACCTTGCAATCCTCCTRCCTCAGCGTGCCCCCTACCCCCAGTAGATGGGGTTGTAGGTACACATCATCACATTCAATTATGTCTGTTTCTAAGACTGAGGTAAAGCAGTATGATCCTACCATTCACATTTCAGAGAGCTCTTCCAGGGGGAAAAAAATTAACAGTACACAATCAAAATCACCACCACCAACAACAACATAAAACTTGTGGAGACAAGGGGAAGAAGTCAAAACAGTTTTAAAGTAGGAAACCACATCTCATAAGCAGAAAACAGAAGTTAAAGTTCTACAAGAAACCTTTGAATGGAAAAAGAAAATATATATTTTATGCTAACAGTGCACAGCGCACTGGGAGTCTCTGTGCACACAGAGTATGTGTCCATGTAGACACGGATGACAGGACAAGGCTGATCAGAGTCCTCAGGGAACCACTTGACCCCAATCATTTGAAAAAATATTTTAATAATGAAAACGTAACAAGGAGAGCAATTTTTATGTAAACTGACAAAAAGACAAAAACCAATAGTATCTCTGTAAACTCTGTGCATGTGTACACATTTATATGTATACAATTGGAGGGTAGTCCCATGAGCAACATAATACAAACCAGAAGAATTAGCCAAAAGCATAAAGAGCCTTCAGTAAGGAAGCAGGATCAATAACTCACACCATGCTCCAACGACACAGTGCACAAGGTCACGACCTGTCTGTAAACACACAAGTCACCAAGCCCCTGGGGATGTGTTTAAAGAAATTACAAATTCATTTTGCCCAAATGTACCCTCTTCACTTAAAAATGGGCACTTGAAACAAACTATGACTTGAGAAATAGAGAGATAATACTTTATTTTTAGCATCTTTAGACCACAAATCAATAATCAATGGCAGGGACAGTATGTTAAAGATTTTAAACATTATCAGTTTTTAAATTCAAACTCAGCTTAATTTCTGAAATGATACAAATACCTTAAAATATTATTTTCCCCAAGAGGTTGAACACTTTCTTCAAATTACATCATGCCATAAAGTGAATTCCWATTTTAACCATTGTCCCTTTAGTCCTCTGCTAATGCTCACTGGCAGGCACCAGCGAGCCCCTTCCTGCACTGACTGCCTTTTACTGATTACCCCAACAACTCTGCTTAGGTAAAAAGTACCTTATCTCATAAGGATAAGAAAAACAGTCCTCACAAGATTCCAAAGAAATGCTTTCTGTTTCTGTGTACGCAGTGCTTTCAACTCCTCACCTGGACTGAAGTTTCCCTGAATTTCTCAAACAGCACACCGTTTCCCGGAGGGCCTGTCTGTGTGCTGGGGAAAGACACGTCCTGCACTGCGCCCAACCGCCACACATGGAGGCAGCAAAAGTGAACTTGTGCCCTGAACTTCAATACCTTTTTCCTACATAACCAATCAACTGAGGGCCTTCTAGAGAATAAAAATAGTGAAAGGTGGAACTGAAGAGGCTACCGTACACATCAAATGGAATAAAGAAAAAGGAGTACACTAAATGAATAACTCATACTTCAAAATCCAATAGTTAAAACAACCAATCGAACGAAGCCAGGAGTGGTGGTGAGAAGGCTGAGGCAGGAGGAGGGCTGAGTGCTGCATCCAGGAGTTTGAGACCAACACAGTGAGACCCCCACCTCCAAATTAAAAAAAAGTAAATTGATCAAGATCAAGTCACAGAAAGCTACGATGGAGTCCCTGTTGGCCAACTTGCCCTTCTAGATCCTGGCCGACAGGGCAGCCAGGAGCCCCTGCAGAAAGGAACCAAGGGGAGGAGCCCGGGTGTCTCTAGCTTGCTGCCTGGAGGCCCTTTCATTTTGACCCAAATGCTGGAGAGGAAGGAGCCCCAAGCTGGACGCACCTCCTGCTAAGTGGAAGGAAGGACCAGGGCTCCAGGAGGCAAGGCATGGGAATCCACAGGAGACCACCAAGAAACCGGGCGCCTGGGAGCTGCGGGCACTAGACTGCTGAGGGGCAACTCTGCAGGGCCCCCTGGAGACAACCACAGGGGAGCTGCAGACTGTAGGAGCACCGAGGCCAGGCAGAGCCCGGGGCGGCCTGTAGTTCCACCTGGCGGGAGGGGAAGCCATCACTGGATCCACCTGAAGTTCTCAGGACACAAGAGGAGGGTTGGCGGGGCCCAGCAGTAGGCACCTGGGATCAGGCTCTTCTAGATCCCCACCCAACAAAAGTTAGAAATAAGCATTGAAAGAATCAAACTGATTCATAAACACACTTTAATACCTTCTTAAGGGAGAAAAATGGAACTAGACACTCAACAACACCCCAACACAGTACTCTAGTATCCATCAAAAAATTAATAGGCAAGTCAAGAAAAAAATGT